CTTTCAAAAACACAAGCCATAAGTCAAAAACTGGAGTTTGATTATAAAAAATTAAAGATTTTTGTTACAAAAAGGGCATTATTAACAAAGTTAACAGGCAGATGGCAGAATGTGAAAATATTTGCTTTGTCTAACACTGACAAGGGTGTAATATCATCCTAGAATATACAAGGAACTCCTGCAAATGAACAGGAAAAAGACAGCAACCCAAGAGGGGGAAAAAAAGTTACCAACGTTTATGAACAAGCAATTTACTGAAGAGAAGATATCACTTTATTCCTCCTAACCAGCAAAAACTAGAAATCTAGAAAATTACAAGTATCGTCACGCATGTGGAAATACAGAATCTTGCAGTGCTTTAAGACTGGTTCCACCACTTTTGGAAAGCAAGGTGGCATTACTTGAACACATTAAATAGATTCACAGCTAGTAGCCTAGCAATTCTTCTCCTAAGTAATATAAGACAAATTCTTTGCAAGTCTAAAAGGGGACTAATGCAAGGATGTTCCTGCAGGATTGTTTGTAGTGGCAAGGAATTGGAGCCAACGGGGGAGTTTGTCACTGGAAGAGTGGACAGGTATAACATGGTAGATTCACACCATGGACTACCAGGCATCAGTGTGAAGTAACAGACTAAATGTTAACATCTGGCAATGTGGATGGAGTGACAAACAGTGCTTAGATTTAAAAAAAAAAAAGATATAGACTGAGACATATATCTCAGTAGCTTTGGAGTATATTTAAAAATACATGCCCACAAAATAACTATGTTTAGAAAACTCAAACAAAAATATGCACATTAAGCACATTAGAAAATTCCCTACTGTAGGGAGAAAAATGGGGTGGAAATGAAAGGTATAAATAAATAAAACAAGAGGGCCTTTACTTGCAGGGACCAATGATGGTGTGCCACAAACTGAGAAGTATGATTAACTCAATCCTTTGAGGAACAAAAAACTTTAAAACAAAACATAGCTAATCACAAATATACGCACCTGGACGATGGAGGGCTGGAATGAGGAAAAACTTGCAAAAAACCTAACAGCAAAACGGGCTCATTATACATTAAACTGAATAGTTAAGAGGAGGTCACTAACTAGTAATAAGTGCCTCAGGGACTTCCTTGGGGGCTCGGGGCTCTGGATATTCCCCCTTCACTCCTATCAGAACACCTTTGCTTTTATTTGGTTAATACATCAGGATGCCGTTGAAAATTTCACGTAGGAAACAGCACTACAGCACCTCCTATGGCCCGATAACTGTGAAGGATTACAAAATGAATCGTAGACCAGTGGGAAAGACAGAAAAGTAAATAAATTGTAAAATAGTAAGGGAGTGCCGTGATAGGAGAAAGCACAAGTTATTATGGAAACTTCAAAGTCCAGTAAACCCAGGAAGGGGTAGGGGACACGGCAGGTTTCCCAGAGTGGGTAACTGGAAAGGAGAAGTAAGGCAGCTCAGAGGACACTGCTGTTGTTCAATGGCGGGAGAGGAGCCAACAGTTACATAATTCGCTAAAAGTGGGTCTATCACTTCGAAAGAGGCTGTGGATCCGTCAAGACAGAGAGCAGTGCAGGTTCAATGTGATTGGCAGAGACCTCCGCTCAAGCCCGCCTCCAGACTTGCTCCGCCCTTATCCCACCCTCCGCCGAAGGGGCGCGCATCTCAACAGATCCACTCGGCTGGGAGGGTATCCCATGCCCCAAGGTCCGCATCTCAGCGGGGCTGCCGCCTTAGTCTCCCAAAAATAGATCGGGTTCCGCCCAGGTGTTCGGATTAGCCGCAATCCTGCTGGAGCGGGGAGGCCAAGAAGGCGCTCATTGGTTGCCACGACAGCGATCGGCGTGCTGAGGAAGGCTGATTGGCTGCAGGCTCTCAGCGCGGCCACACCCATCTCCTCTCCGGGTCCAAGCGGGTCAGGGGCGCCCGCGTCTCACGGGTGGTTCGAACGTGCTGCGTCACTGCGCCGGGCCTGGAAACGAGGCGTTAGCATCGGCTTTTGGTGCAAGGGAGCCGGAGGCCCGGCCACAGCCTGCGGCCGTTAATTCCTGGGCACCCTTTCCGCATTTTCGGCCCTTGGTAACCCCAGAACCTGGTTGTACGCCCTCCGGTGACAAGTGGTTTTGCATCCGGAAATGAAAGGAGACTGGGGAGTGGCGTGCACTTTCAGGGTGGCTTCTAGTTAATGCATTTTCACGGATTTTCGCGGACCCTGGAGGAGCTTTGTGTATCCGGGGACCAGGGCCGAAGCCATGGCAGGGGAGACGCATCCGGGGCGGTGGCTTTTCGTGCGAGCCCCCCTCGCGTCCGTTCCCGCCTGACGCCTGGCCTCCCGGAGCCCAGCGCCTTGAGTGAGAAAGTGCTCATCCTTGAGAGGACATTTCTAGGTCACTCGGCCTGCTTTTCTAGCATTCCCGGCCCCAAGTCCTGCCATCCGTGTTGAACGCACCGTTTCTGCGACAGTAGGCGATGCCTCTTGTCTGGAATTGTACTCGTCCCAGGCATCCAGCCCTCCTCCCCAGTTTTCTGCCTTGCAACTGCTGCCTATTTTTAATGGCTCAGCTAATATCATCTCCTCGTTGTAAAGCCTGCCCCATTCTTCTGGACTTCCTTAGGCTCTGGAACCGGCGAGCGCGCCTGAGTTAGAATTGTGGCTATGCTATTTCAAATGCTGTGTGATTTTGAGCAAGTTACTTAACGTCTATGAGCTTCATTTTTTTCATCTCAAAATGGAGGTAATATCGGTACCTCATAAGGTTTTGTGAGGATTAAATGTAAAGCTCCTAGAACGTAAGTGCTTAGTAAATGTAACCTGCTATTATCATCTGTGCTCCCAAAGTTATTTGTATAGGCCTCTTACACAGTGCTTGCCCTTCTGTTACCATTATTAGTTCTTGTCTGCCTCCTTAAAAGCTGGAACTGTGCCTTGTTTATAATCTCAGTGTCCAGCAGTTCTGGGCAAATGTAAAGAAATTATTCCTCAAAAAACTTTCTCAGAAACACCCTTTCTTCTCCTTTCCCTTTCCTTTACTTTTTTCTCTTCGAGACAGGAATTTTCTAACCTACAGAAGAAGCTGAGATCCCAGGGGGAAAGATAGGCACTTTTTTTGTTCTCTGTGGTGATCAAGGGGGCCTTAACATTCCTCTCAGCTTGACAACTTTAGACAAGTTTCTTCTTAACTGTAGACCCTTGACTTCCCTTTTCTTAGAATATGTACTTTAGAAAACTTGTAGTTGCAAATTCTTTCTTTGCCCCTTTGAAATGTATATGAGTCTCCTTAAAAGCTTATTGCCAGTTTTATGACCCAGGCAATGTCTTTCTCAAGGACCTGGGAGCCATCCCTTTGAAATGTAATCATCAATGAAGATAGCGCCCCTATCTCTCAGTGTCTCTGGGATGGTAGGAGCCTAATGTTCCAAATTGGAAAACTACTGCTTGTCTTGACCATATGAAAAGTTTCCTTTCCCTTTCGCTTTGCAATTAACAAACAGGGGTGTCATGTGATTCACACCTACTGAAGCTCTTAAAAACTCCCCAGCCCCTTGTTTCAGCGGAATTCAGTTTACTCTCCTATTGCAATAGTTTTAAAGTCTTTTTTGTCTAACTTTGATGCAGTTTTTCTTTGGCAATAGAAATCTTTAGGTTCTGCATTTATTGTTTCTTCCTGATTACAGTGGTGTATCATTTCTTCCTCCTCGCTAAGAAGAGCTTCTCACATTCTCTGATTTCTAGAGAAATTAATTTGGACTCAAAAGATAAGAGTTTTGTGAAGGAAGTGACTGTTTTAAGTCATTAATGCACAGGGTAGTATGCGATTTGCAGGGTGTGGAAAGGGTAGTATGTCTACTTGAGAGCGTCTCAAATGAGGTCCATTCATATTATGAAAGTGCACTGGAAAATAAAGAACGGGCCTACCCCCTTCCTTATTTATCAATATTATGAAAGGGGCATGAGAAAAGTGCAATTTTCAAGGAAAGAACTGCTCAGCATAGTGCCCTCTCAAAGAAAGCTAGGTTTGGTTAAGGAGAGAAATGAGAGGAAGGCAGAGGACAAGGTTGTAAATATAAAGACCTCTGCAATGGTGGAGGTAGTGTGGAGAGCTGTTCCTTAAAGTACAGGGAATGAAATGGATTCATTTAAGATGAGGAGGTAAGGCGGAATAGGATTGAGTTGGAATGAAATGAACGATGTAAGAGAAAAAGGAAGGCAGTGGGGTAGGGGTGGGGGAGTTAATTTTGGGTGTGGTGACAGGGAAGGAAACTGGTAGCCTGAGCAGCTTGGTAGAGGCACTTACTACTTGCATGGGAAGGGAAATATCAGGCAGACAGTCCTGTTACTACAGGAAACTAGAGGATTTTAGGAAAAGGGGTTTGACACACTGGCTTCTGCCCTGCCCTCAACAACACAAAGCACAAATAAATTGAGTGCAGTGTTGGCATTTAGTGCCACCACATATGCTCCCTTATTGGTTTGTGGGGGCTAAGAAGACGGAGTTCAGGCTGCTGATCTTCTCTTCTCTAACTGACTTTTCCTAATGTCAACACTGCTCCCTAATTCCCTTCTTCTTACTTCTTCACTTACTTTTTCTCATAGGAGTGGGGTGGATGAGGGCAGATCCAAGAAATGAGAATGGAATGTGAGAAAGAAAAACACTAAAACAATAAGTTGAAAGAGAAAAAGTTTAATCCTAGATGTATATGCAAAGCTCAGACTGGGGAATAGCATGAAAGACTATTACACAAATAGAATTAAATGCACTTATTTATTAAATCCTGTTGTGACAACTTAGAGGAAAAAAAAAAAAACTAAGGAAAGTCTCAAATTCTCCTGAGGAAAGTCCAAGAGAACACAATCTGGAAGTGAAGTCAGAGAGATGAGCACTGGACATCAGGAGGAACTTCCAGGTCTGAATCTAGTGCCAAGGAAGCCATGAATGCTCTTTCCTAGAGCCTTTTAGCGTTGGAGAGTTATGCACCTGTCAGGGCGGGGAAGGGGTAACTCAGGCCGCCCCAGGGGAGGGAGCCTCCCCTTCAGGGGCCTTCCTGCTAGACAGGCTCCACCTGGTCAGGCTGCTTCTCCCAAGGGCCCTCGCCATGGCCCCCTTCATTTCTTTGTTGCGGAAACTGTAGATGATGGGGTTGCACATGGGGATGATGATGGTGTAGAGGAGGAAGAAAGGCTTGTCTTTGTCAGGCCCATGTGTGCTGCGGGGATTCATGTAAGAGAACATAGCTGAGGTGTACAAAAAGATGATCACAGTCAAGTGGGAGGCACAAGTAGAGAAGGTCTTCCCCCGACCTGAGGAGGAAGCTCTGCCGAGGATAGAGGTCAGGATGCGAGCGTAGGAGGTGACAATGAGCACCATGGGGCTGAGCAGCACCACAATGGCATCAGCAAAGATCATCCTCACGCTAAACTGAGGGTCCGCACAAGAGAGGGCGATCACTATGGGGGCCTCACAGAAGAAGTTTTCTATGTGATTGTCCCTACAGAAAGTATTCCAACATGATATATATTCAAGAAAGATGCCATTGATGAGCCCAAAGAACCAGGCAGTACCCACGAGCCTGACACAGACCTGCTGGCCCATGATCTGAGCATAGCTAAGTGGGTGACAGATAGCAACATAACGGTCATAGGCCATAAAAGCCAAGAGGATGCACTCAGCCACACCCACACAGAAGACCAAGTACATCTGGGCCATGCAAGAGACAAAGGAGACAGTGTGGTTCTTGACCACCAGGTGGATCAACATCTGCGGGATGGTGGTGGTGATGAAGCAGACATCCAGGAGAGACAGGTGGCCAAGGAAGAAGTACATGGGGCTGCTGAGCCTGGGGTCCAGGTGATGAAGATGATGAGGCCATTCATGGCCATGGCAAGGCAGTAGAGGACCAGGAAGAGGGCAAAGAGCAATGCCCGAGTGGAAGGGGAGCTGTGCTCAAAACCCACGAGGATAAACTCTGTCACTGTGCTGCTGCTGTTCCTTAGGCTCGCCATCTGGGACCTGCTTGAAGAGGGAGGACAGGAGAAGCACAATGGAGATAGCTGTAGGATAATATAAGGTCCTCACTTGGGCCCAGAAACCCAAGTATTAATAGTTGGGTCCAGGACCCATGCCAAATGAAGAAACATTTAAGGAATTGAGGAATGGGGTGTTCGAAGGGAGGGAATAGTGGCTATTAGCTTATAGAAGATCATATTTAGGAAGCACTTGAGAGATATTTGAAGGTGTATTTTCCTAGAAGAAAAAAATGCTCAGTCTCTGTGTACCTAATTTAAAATGATGAATGGGTTGAAGTGTCAGGGAAAATAAAAAACATTCCAATCCTCTGGATGGTCCTTCAGGTGACAGTGATTTGCACGTTTCTGGGGACAGTCAGGCCTAGCTCTCCCCAGTCATCTACCTCTTCCCAGACTCACTCTCCCAGTAGTTGCTGCTGCTACATCACGCACCCGTGCTGTGTATGCTGGGTATGGGGCCTGGGTGAGAGGTATTACATGCTTTCCCAGCAGGAGACAGTTTCCCTCTTGTGATCAGAATTTAGATTTACACACCACTGGGTGGAGAGGCCCCAACCATCCCTGTGAGAAAAGGGAAGCTATAAGCAGCTTCCCACCTTTCTGGAATGGACCTTCAGAGAACTTTAATCTGCCCTTTGCCTCTTGTTCTTTTTCCATCTTCAAAGAATGAGCATTCACAATTATCATCCATTTACCTCACTACTGTAACTTTTAGGAAGTCGTTATGTTCGTATTAAATCTCTCTTATACTTTTTATCTTGTTTTGGAGTTGGGACATATCAGATCCCTTCCACTTTCACAAGCTTATAGATGATTAGTTGACTTACAGTTCTGCCAACCACTCCTCTATTTTCTCCTCCCCTATTCTATTTTATATAAACTGTCACTCTACTCTCTCTGTTAGTCTTTTTTTCCTTTTTCTACCTACTTCCAATCCTTACACTTTTCTTCTCCCTCTCCCTTTCCCATCTTTGGTGATGGTTGCCTGCCATTCATCTAACTCTGGTTGAACTCCACTCTCTTTTCCATGTCTCTCACTCTCTCATATTCTCTATCTTCAGTATATTTATTTATTTTTGAGACAGGGTCTCACTCTGTTGCCCAGGCTAGAGTGCAGTGGCATCATCATAATTCACTGCAACTTCAAACTCTTGGGTTCAAGTGATCCTCCTGTCTCAGCCTCCTGAGTGGCTGGGACTATAGGTGTGTGGCATCATGCCTGTCTAATCTTTTTGCAGAGATGGAGTCTTGCTATGTTGCCCAGGCAGTACTCAAATTCCTAGCCTCAAGTGATCCTCCTTCCTTGGCCTCCCAGAGTACTGGGATTATAGGCATGCGCCACCAAGCCTGGCCTCTATTTGCCTTTTAGAAGGTACCTGCCCTATCACTGCCACTCCTTGCATCTCTAGATTCCCTCCAGGTGTGATTTCATGGTGCGTTAAGGCAGTGTCTGGGCAGTAGGCCATTCCTATCATCTTTACTTTGGGATACTTTTCTTGTACCTAGGACTTCTCTTGGGGACCCAGAAAGGGAAGGGAAGGTCAGAGAGCATTGTTTAAGATGTGGCTTGGAAGCCTGTGCTCAGTGGACATATTGAGACTTAAGGTCAGAGTCTGGGCAAAATATGCCAGTGAACTACACTGCAGAGAAGCCTGGGACTTGTCCAAGAAGAAATTGAGGTTTGACCTGAGGAATCACTAGGACCTACTGGAGGATAAATGCTTACCTATGATTCCTGTGCCAGAAAGGATTCTGTGATACCCAGCATCCAGTGCCTTGTTAGCTACCATTAGGAGTTAACCAGTCAAACATTTGTCTAAAAAAATGGGACAATATCATGGAAATCACATCCTACCTCATTCTGTTGCTTGGCTGATAATGATGTTTATCACTGAATCACTGTGGCAAGTAACAGAAATGATCCCATGGTGTTTGAAGAGAAGTTGGTCTAGGGAGGATGGTCTGACCTGGTGGGCCACTCTGGAAGAGAAGGTATGTCTGATGACCTTGTTAGTTCTTTGACCAATCTACACTATTAGAGATCAATGTCTACTTAAATAATATTATGAAGTTACATGTGTATACATTTTATAGTATAGGTGTGAAACCTTACATACCCTATATACCATTTGTTAATAATCTTATTCTGCCCCCTCTTTTTCATATTGTATGTTTGGACCTTTTCAGACTTTTAAAATTTTGTCTCAGTGCTAACAAATTAAATTCTAACACTTAGACTTGAAAATTACATGCCTTCCTGTTAGTTGAAGAAATCCCAGCAAGAAAATAAGAAGAAAACATTAATTCCCTTATTCCTTTGGCCACAGATAAGTGCGTACTATTCTGTAACATAAAACTTGTCCTTGCAAATATTACTTCTGACAAAGAATCTTCCAAGAATGGACTTCAGAAATTGTTGCTATGTCTTCTAAAACTAACCTTGAACCTCTAAAATGTAATTTTTATTAGTTGTCTTAATGGCCATTGTAATATTTAAATTGATACTTATGTTCTCTGAAAGGTATACAGTATATACTTGTCAGATTTCTCTGTTAAACTAGAAGAGGATCATAGTATTTTTTTCTGACAAGTGTGTAGAGATAAAATAAAAAAACAGCCATTACTCCTTGGGTTTCCTATTGAAAGAGTTGAAGGTCTATAATCTTATTTAAATTAACAGTAGTTTACAAAGTACCTCATATATTTCATGACATTTGAATCTTCATTTTATTATTGTATCTTAATGGTGTAGTGTAATCTCACTGAAGAACTTTTGGTAAATTATGTAGGACAATGTACCTGAACACAATTTGGCAAGGAGAAAAGAATAGGGAATGAATTTTCAGCTGTGGGTCTAGAGTGGTGTCATAATTGATTTAATTAACTCCCCTCAAAATCCCAAACAATTTTTACTAGTAATATTATCACATATATGGAAATAAAATTGTAAATGAATATTATAGAGTTTTGCTTATAATTAAATTCAAAGTCGTAATAATGCCTGGCAGATCCTGGATGGAAAGAATTCTAGTGATCCACATATTTTGCATTCTCAAATCACAGTGCAGGTGAGTTAAGGGAGAGGAGTCTGCGTTCCATCACCACAGGAGCACAATGAACAAAGGGTGCTATTGTAGATGAGACTGGTGGGAAAATGTCTCATTACAATGGAAGGCTCTGATTCTTGTTATATTTACCTAAGAAGAGGAGGACACTATTGGATACATTCAACAGTTAGCTGCAATGTTTCCATTGTTCTCCTAGCATGCTATCACCACAGGAGATAAAATATAATACAACGTTTTATTGTTCATTAATTCCATACAATCTGTTTGTTTTAGGAGTAAGGTTAGTTCACTTAAGCTGTAAATGAACTCGCCAGCCTTAAATCATGTAGATTCTTCTCTTAGAAAGTTTGAGCCTCCATGAGTCTTGACTATCTTCTTGCTGGTATGCTTTAAATAAATGTGCCTCTTGAAATTTCAAATCCTATATCCTACTTGAAACTTAGTTTATTTCATGCATACTTAAATCTCTTACTTTTTGGATTAAATACATCATTTCGTGATGAAGAAAAGCATCACTTTTATGGGTGAAAAACCTTTATGGTAGGCCGGGCGTGGTGGCTCAAACCTGTAATCTTAGCACTCTGGGAGGCCAAGGCAGGAGGATTGCTTGAGCTCAGGAGTTCCAGACCAGCCTGAGCAAGAGCGAGACTCCATCTCAACTAAAAGTAGAAAAATTAGGCAGGCATCGTGATGTGCACCTGTAGTCCCAGCTACTCAGGAGGCTGAGACAGGAGGATAGCTTGAGCCCAGGAGTTTGAGGTTGCAGTGAGCTATGATGACATACTGTATTTTAGCCAGGGCGACAGAGTAAGACTCTGTCTCAAAAAACAAACAAACAAGCAAAAACCCCCACTTTATGGTAGATATATTTAACCTGGTGTTGATGGACCCCCAGGAAATCAATAGATGTGTTTCAGAGTATCTATGCATCTCTGAAATGTTGTAGGAAAAGTTGTGTTCATTTCAGCATTTTTCTTGGAGAGTACACAATTTATCAAATTCTCAAAGGCAGCTGGAACCCACAAAGGGTAAAAAATTTCTGATTTAGAGATTTGAAGTCACTAAGTTCCCATGGACTTCTCTTCTTTAAATTGAAAATTAATAATGCTAAAAAGTATCTAGAAGCTTCCTGGTTGCTTCCCCCCAGGCTTATGCTCTAATCTTGACATCACAATTAAAAGGACAATAAACTGACCTGATAACATGGAAAACTGAGTAGGGATGGGGTGGAGTAATTAAATAGTATATGTCTGATTTAAGTTTGGAAAATGACATTGGTTCTAAATCACCATGGAGGCAGTACTTCTGGCCATGAGTAACCAGATCTTACCTAAAGAGAATAATATTTTGTATTGAGAGTGGGAAGGCTAGGGGGAGGTGGCAGAAGTAAAAAAACAAAACAAAAACTAAACCCACAACACTAAAAAGGGAGCTTTAAGGCATTTAAGGAAGTTCATCCTGGAAAATGCCTCTATGGTGACCAGCAGTTTTCCATTTCCTTCAGGGTCAGCAGAAATGACAGATGGAGGAAATTTCTGTCTCATAAGAGATTTTTAAACATTAAAATGATAGGCTAAGAAGTATAATTTCCTACTCTGTAGATGTTTGAGAACATTTCAATGAAAGTTCCAGTATGTCAGGTTCAGTTTAGATTTGAGCCAGTGCAAAGACAAAGGACAGCAGCCTGAACAGTTACCAGTGCCTCCAGGAGAGCTCCTCTCTTGAATCTTTTTCCTTAGTTCATGGTATTAAGAAATTCTTATTCGCCCCAGTCAGAAACCAAGAAATCACCTTCCACTCCCTTCTTTCTAACCTCCATGTTAAGTTCCCATTAAATGTTGGTAAATTTTATATATGTATGTATGTATTGATTGATTGACAGGGTCTTGCTCTGTTGCCCAGGCTAGAGTGCAGCAGCTGCAACCTCAGACTCCTGGACTCAAGCAATTCTCCACCTCAGCCTCCAAAGTAGCTGGGACTACAGGCAGGCACC